TGCGGTTTTGTGTACAATGTATCAAGTGACAGTGACCTACTGGCACTGCACTTGCTGGGGGAGAAGGGGGGGGGGGTAAGCATAGGGGCTAAATGCAGGTGCTTGCAGGTGCCGGGGCTGATCCTGCTAATGCTACATTTTTGGGGATGCTATACTAATGTGACACTGGTATAGTGCTGATCTGATCAAAGATATTGATCTGTTCAGACACTATACTAGCAGTGGAGGTTTATGGTGTATGAGCATCTTCCTGGCAATCAAGGAGTTAAATGTAATTACTGGTGTACTGACGGCCAATCTGACGCCATCTGAGATGAGCGTAAAAACCACGGGAGCGCGAATCACGTATATATATGTGATTTTGCGCACCTGTGCCGCCCTGTAGCAGTATTTCTGCTATAGGGCGGTCAGGAAGCGGTTACATAAGCGGTTTGTGTTACGTCACTGCATTACTGTAACTGACAATTGTGTGGTCATGCAACGCTGCACCAAAATTAAATTTACATCTTTTTTTCCCCACGAATTGGGCGTTCTTTTGGTGGTTTTTGATCGCCTGTGCGTTTTTTATTTTTTTGCACTATAAAAAAAAAGCCCGACAATTTTGCTATAAAATATGTCCAGGAAAAAAAATTAAAATCAAATTTCGTCATACATTTTGGCCAAAATGTATTCTGAGACATGTCTTTGCTAAAAAAAAATCCCAATACGTGTAAATTAATTGGTTTACGTGAAAGTTATAGCGTTTACAAATGGCGGTATAGATACTGGATTTTTTTCTTATACTAATAATAGTGGCAATCAGCGACTTTTGGCAGCGATCAGCGACTTATGGCGGGACTGCAGTGGACATTCTGACACGGGGGGGAACTGACTTGGGGTCACTCACATCCCCAGTGACACCAATACAGTGATCACTCAGTGAAAAAAAAAACACTGACACTGTACTAATGGCACTGGGGAGGAAGGGGTTAACTTCTGGAGCCAATAAAAGGGTTAACTGTGTGAGGGGAGTGTTTTACTAGGGGGTGGGGGTTTGTACCTCTCTATTACACACTGTCCTGGAAGGCTGTGTCCTGCGATCCCGGAGCAGTGTGCTGAAGCTGACAAGGAGGAAAGCTCCATTGAAAACAAACTCTGTCAGTGATTGCTGGCAATCGCTGGGCTCCGACGGGTAATCACCGGCCGAAACTCGGTGATTGACACCCGCGGCCGCGATTGGTGACTCTGGTAGGGTGGTCGCGCACCTCGCACACGCCCCTACCCAGGAATGCAGGATCATGTTTATATACATGATCCTGCGCACAGGGGCTGCCTTGTAGCAGTATATTTACTGCGGGCGGTCCCCTAGTGGTTAAGGACACGCCGGCTTCCTTAACAACCAGCTATCATGCGATAAATTACTGCATGAAAATATGTAGTAATTACTGCAATACCAATACTTTACCTCATGAGTTATTTACTTGCAGCGGGATCTGTATGTTTGTCATAAATGCTCCCGCTCCCAAGGCCAAGTAACCTGTACTACACCATTGATAAGTTAGGATCTTCTCATGCAGGGTATTCACAAAATGAATGCAGACTGAGGGGTTTCTGCATGTTCCTTATGAAGGAATCAAATGTCCCTGTGGGGGGACCTTGTTTGTTTGGATGGAGGAATCTGTTCACTTTTTTTTTTCATTCATCCCAGCTTTAGGATGTCCCCATTTTGAATTGAGGAGCAACAGAGACACCTTTGGACAACTGCATTGACAACCTGTAAAGATGTTAGTGTTAGATGCCCTAACAGATTTAGGTGAACCTGACTAGGAAATGAAAGCTGAACTCCTGCCAACACTTTGTAGTTGCAACAACAGTTCTTTTCATTTTGGGATAAAGGTTACCATTGCAAGCACCTCTGTTAACCATGGTTTGTCTCAACTGACACTTTTCCATCTGTTCAGGAAAGTTGATAACAGATTTACTGGCCAGATCAACAGGTGAAAACAAAAAAAAAGAAAACTTGTACAGCCACCACATCAAAAGATTGGTAAGCTGCATAATAAAGTTTTATTTTTAGTTTTAATGCCACTTTAACCCTCCTAGGCTCGTCTTCTCCCCTATTTGATCTCCACAGTCATGTATTTACTGGCTCTGAATCTATTGGTGCTGGAATGTATTGGCCAATTACTGAATGATATATACAGATCAAACTGTGCAAATTCCCGGTACCTTTGTCATACAAAGCTGCAAATATTAAAGAGGATATCCTCTCTTCAAAACGTTTTTGTTAAATAAAATATTGCGCTATGTATAACAATAAAATTCACTTATTGTGCATATACACTATGAAGTCACTCACACCTTTGAAAAGCAATCAAATCAGTGAAAATAAATAAATAAATAAATGGTGGTATATAGTGTGCAAACTTCACTTATCATACACATTCACTATGAAGTCACTCATATCTATGAAAAGTGATCAAATCAGTAAAAAACAAATAAACAGTAACATGTAATCCATGCAAACACACTATAAAGTCTGCATGGATATAAAGCTCCACAATCAGTAGTGAAGCCATATTTCAATACTGCGAATATAAATATTAAAATATAATAAAAATCCTACTTACAAACTGTTGGGTACTTTAAAGCATTTTGTAGGGAGGATTTTTATTTGCGCAAATAAACTTAAACCTATTGTACTATGAGAGGCATGTTTTTTCTTTTATGATATTATTTGGCACCATTTTGGAGTTCACATTTTGGTCTAAGAGGTTTGGAACACTTCTGATCGGGGCATGGCATGGAAAACTGGATGATATGTATTGCAATGTTGGTTGAGACCCCTTATAAGTAAGGGGTCTCTGTTTCTGGTAAGCCTCCATTTATTTCACTTGGTGGTGGTGCACATGATGGTGAACATCCAGAGAAACAGAGCTCATGATATTAAAACTATATTCACAGTATTGAAAAACGGCTTCACTACCGATTGCGGAGCTTTATATCCATATGGAAGTTATTGTGTGTTTTGCATGGATTACATGTCACTGTTTGTTTTTTACTGATTTGATCACTCTTCACAGAGAATGTGTATGATAAGTGAAGTTTGTACACTACAGTATATATACTACCATTTATTTATTTATTTGTTTTCACTGATTTGATCGCTTTTCATAAGTGTGAATTACTCAATGATACTGTGCAGGTACTGTACCTTCATACCAAGTCAAACAATTCGACAAACCATCCTAATAAAGAATTTGGCAGTTGCGGGAAAGTTTAGTTTTACTCATTTATCTATTTGTTTATTGTTGTTTTGATTATTTTAAGCTGGACATACACTGATCGAAATGCAGCCGATTTAGCAGGGATCGGGTGAATTTAATCATTGTGTAGTTGTAAGCCGTGTACCGGGGTGGGCTCCCCAGGATACAGTGAAGTCATGAACGAGGAAAGCAACCCCAACACCAGCTTTTGCCACAACAGAATTTTACTTAGATGTGGCAAATAAACACAACCACAAATGCTGGAAACATACAATACATTTACATACACCCAGCCCAAAGGCTGAGACCCTTGTGCTGCACAGCACGGCGCCTTCTGATGGATGAAGGTAGAAAGTGAAGTAATTTACCTACTGGCGGGCACAAATAAGCTGCCACACCTTACCTGTTATTACCCTAAAAGAGCAGGAATCAGTGTATGGGTGTACGGAATGGGCTAGCCTGCGGTGCAGCACAACAGCTTACAATCTTACACATATCTACAGTATTCCCTCTCCCATAACTGGTCCTGTAACACATGCCTGAGTATTCCTTCTGAGCAAACCGCCAGTCTGGCTTGAGTTTGTAGGATTTTATCAGCTCTCCAATGTGAAATGTCACTTTAAGTTGTGGAGTTGTCAGGGCTCCAGGGTATGACCAGAGGTATGTGACTGACGCAGGGAAATGCAGGCTTCAGATAAGTTATAAACAATATAATTTATTCAAGACTAACAATACAAACATAAACGCAGTGCAATACTAAAACATAACACAGTGCAAACGAACCAAACCACCCACAGATAACAATACATACAATGCAAGCGTCGTCAGGCAGGCCGGGTCAATAACAAACGGGCAGGTAGGAACAGGAGGAGCAGGCAGAGAGTAGTCAGGTCACAAGCCGGGTACAGCAACTAACAGGCAGGTAGGTACAGGGGGGTCAGGCAGAGAATGGTCGGAGTCACAAGCCAGGGATCAGAACAGGAGAAGTCAGCAGAGGTCCAGATCAAGCAGGGTCAGCAACAAGACAGGAACAGGAACAGGATACAGGAACAGGATGCAGGGCCCAGGAAAAACACACACACCAAGGCAGAGTCTGCAGGTCTGGCCATCCATTAAATACACCTGCATAAGCAGTTTCAGGTGTTTGGCTGGCTGCAGGGTTGAGCCTCTGATTGCTGGGAGCACCCGCTGGCCAGCCCTGGGTACTGCAGCCCATAAGGCAGGTGAGTCCCACCATTGCTGGCCAGTCCATTCCTGACAGGATACCCCCCTCAAGGAGCGGCCTCAGGACGCTCCAAACAGTCCTAGCTGGGCAAAATGTTCCACTGCCCGGGTCTGGTAACTGGCGGGATATCAAAGACTGGCAATCCGGGCAGGACTCCGGGCAGCAGGACTCCGGGCAGCGGCACACCGGGCAGAGGCACATCGGGCAGAGGCACATCGGGCAGCGGCACATCGGGCAGCGGCACATCGGGCAGGACTCCGGGCAGCGGCACATCGGGCAGGACTCCGGGCAGCGGCACATCAGGCTGGACTCCGGGCAGAGGCAAATCGGGCTGGACTCCGGGCAGAGGCACATCGGGCTGGACTCCGGGCAGAGGCACATCGGGCTGGACTCCGAATCACCAGGGCAGCGGGCCCTGGGCCACCAGGCGGAGCACAGGTCGGGCCCCCAGGACTCCGAACCCACAGACGGAGCAACAGGTCTTGGAGCCCCCAGGCGGAGCGGCGGGGCCGGACCCCCAGGCGGAGCGACAGGTCTCGGGCCCCCAGGCGGAGCGGCTGGCGCCAGACCTCCAGGCGGAGCGACAGGTCTCGGGCCCCCAGGCGGAGCGACAGGCACCGAGTCACCAGGCACGATAGTGGGCTCCGAGTCAACTGGCATGACCGCGGGCACTGGGTCAGACATTGGATCGTCTGGCTGGACAGTGGGCATCGGGTCACCAGGCATCAGGTCATTTGGCTTGACAGCGGGCACAGAGTCATCTGGCAAGGCAGTGGGCACCGAGTCACCAGACACGACAGTGGGCTCTGAGTCAATTGGCATGACCGCGGGAACTGGGTCAGACATTGGATCGTCTGGCCCGACAGCGGGCATCGGGTCACCAGGCATGACAGCGGGCACTGGGTCATCAGGCATGGGGTTGTCTGGCTCGACAGCGGGCATCGGGTCACCAGGTATGACAGCGGGCACTGGGTCACCAGGCATCAGGTCATTTGGCTCGCCAGCGGGCACCGCGTCATCTGGCACCGAGTCACCAGGCACGACAGTGGGCTCCGAGTCAACTGGCAAGACTGCGGGCACCGAGTCGTCTGGCAAGACTGCGGGCACCGAGTCAACTGGTGGAACAGCGGGCATCGAGTCACCTGGTAAGACTGCGGGCACCGAGTCGTCTGGCAAGATCGCGGGGCTCCGAGTCGTCTGGCAAGATCGCGGGCTCCGAGTCGTGTGGCAAGATCGCGGGCTCCGAGTCGTCTGGCAAGACTGCGGGCTCCGAGTCATCTGGCAAGACTGCGGGCACCGAGTCGTCTGGCAAGACTGCGGGCACTGAGTCAACTGGCGGAACAGCGGGCATCGAGTCACCTGGTAAGACTGCGGGCACTGAGTTGTCTGGCAAGACTGCGGGCACCGAGTCGTCTGGCGGAACAGCGGGCATTGAGTCAACTGGCGGAACAGCGGGCACCGAGTCGTCTGGCAAGACTGCGGGCACCGAGTCGTCTGGCAAGACTGCGGGCTCCGAGTCGTCTGGCAAGACTGCGGGCTCCGAGTCGTCTGGCAAGACTGCGGGCACCGAGTCGTCTGGCAAGACTGCGGGCTCCGAGTCGTCTGGCAAGACTGCGGGCTCCGAGTCGTCTTGCAAGACTGCGGGCTCCGAGTCGTCTGGCAAGACTGCGGGCACCGAGTCAACTGGTGGAACAGCGGGCTTCGAGTCGTCTGGCAAGACTGCGGGCACCGAGTCGTCTGGCAAGACTGCGGGCACCGAGTCAACTGGCGGAACAGCGGGCATTGAGTCACCTGGTAAGACTGCGGGCACCGAGTCGTCTGGCAAGACTGCGGGCACCGAGTCGTCTGGCGGAACAGCGGGCATCGAGTCAACTGGCGGAACAGCGGGCACCGAGTCGTCTGGCAAAAACTGCGGGCACCGAGTCGTCTGGCAAGATCGCGGGCTCCGAGTCGTCTGGCAAGACTGCGGGCACCGAGTCGTCTGGCAAGACTGCGGGCTCCGATTCGTCTGGCAAGACTGCGGGCTCCGAGTCGTCTGGCAAGACTGCGGGCACCGAGTCAGAGTCAACTGGCGGAACAGCGGGCATCGAGTCACCTGGCATGATAGGATCATCAGGCTGCATCAGTTCATCAGGCCGGATCAGTTCATCAGGCTGGGTACAGACATCAGGCTGGGATCAGTTCATCAGGCTGGGTACAGACATCAGGCTGGGTACAGACATCAGGCTGGATCAGTTCATCAGGCTGGGTACAGACATCAGGCTGGGTACAGACATCAGGCTGGGTACAGACATCAGGCTGAAGTGCGGGCGCCGAGGCACCAGGCTGAACCACGGAAGGCAGGTTCTCAGACGGCAGGCTCACCGGTTTGGATACTGGCAGGATGGTACTGGTTGGAAAGAATTTTCGCTTTTTTCTGGTTTTAACTACTGGAGCACTGCAAGTAAACGCAGGTCTGCAAATGAATGGAGCAGCTGGAGACAGAGAAGAGCTGGAGGATGGAACAGGGGAGGGAACAGTTGCTACAGAGGGCTTCTTTACAGGGTTAAAGGCAGGATAGGTGCAGCGAGTGGGAACAGGGTACTGACATGCGGTAGATAGCCAAGTATACTGGGCTGTAACTGGAGGTGCTGTTGGGAATGCAGGAATAGAGCTTTGAGGAAATAGATTAGAAGCAGGACTGGGTTTTTGTAAGCTGACTGAGGCTGGGTGTAACAAATCTGTCCATGTCTGCAGTATGGGTTGAACAAAGCTGAGCTTACACAAAGCCTGTCTGACCAAAGACTGCACTGCGTTTATACAATCCCTTAATACCTGTGGTGAACATGCAGAATAACGCTCCAGAAAGTAATCCACATCATCCTCTAATAACCATACCAGGGACTCTACCTGGTCTGCACTAAATGGTGGCAAAAATTCATCCCTGCATTCGGGGGTACCAGATGAAACCAACTCAGCACAAACCTGAATCAATGGCTGCACCTCAGAGAATTCTGTGCCCTGATCTACTAGAACATGAGCGATCTGTATACATTCTAGCAGTTCATCCCGGGGATACTCCTTCAGAGTTTGATAAGCATACTCTCTGTCATCAAACACTAGCAGAGATAAATACACAACCTCATCAAGATCCATCATTCCCAGCAACAAGCCAAGATGGCTTCCCTGTGCAGCCACTTCTGGTCAGGATTGGCCTTGGTGTAATGTCAGGGCTCCAGGGTATGACCAGAGGTATGTGACTGACGCAGGGAAATGCAGGCTTCAGATAAGTTATAAACAATATAATTTATTCAAGACTAACATAAACGCAGTGCAATACTAAAACATAACACAGTGCAAACGAACCAAACTACCCACAGATAACAATACATACAATGCAAGCGTCGTCAGGCAGGCCGGGTCAATAACAAACGGGCAGGTAGGAACAGGAGGAGCAGGCAGAGAGTAGTCAGGTCACGAGCCGGGTACAGCAACCCGCAGGCAGGTAGGTACAGGGGGGTCAGGCAGAGAATGGTCGGGGTCACAAGCCAGGGATCAGAACAGGAGAAGTCAGCAGAGGTCCAGATCAAGCAGGGTCAGCAACAAGACAGGAACAGGATGCAGGAACAGGATGCAGGGCCCAGGAAAAACACACACACCAAGGCCAAGTCTGCAGGTCTGGCCATCCCTTAAATACACCTGCATAAGCAGTTTCAGGTGTTTGGCTGGCTGCAGGGTTGAGTCTCTGATTGCTGGGAGCACCCGCTGGCCAGCCCTAGTACTGCAGCCCATAAGGCAGGTGAGTCCCACCATTGCTGGCCAGTCCATTCCTGACAGGAGTCCTTCTAATAATCAGTAACAACACTTGTGGCCTGACATAAACAGAGACCCTAACTAACTAACTATAGACCTGGACTCAGTCTCAAGGCGCCAACACTGAAATGAGGTGCGTGCACGATCTTACCGACCCGGGTCTGCTTTGCATATGCTGGTGACTCTGAACAGAACAAATGTCTCTCCAACAAGCATGTGGTCTTGCCGTATATGTTGCTTAGTTTCTCTGCTCTCATCAGCCTTCCTGGCAGCAATCTCATCAGCATTCCTGGCAGCAATCTCATCAGCTTCCTGGCAGAAAACTCATCAGCTTCACTCAGCTGCAGGTCTGGTTACTGAGGGACGCATGCACACCTGGATGTCATCAGATTCTCAGCTCACACGGCTCATTCAGCATCATCCAAAACATGTCTGCAGTCTCCTCTTCCTGTTCACTAAACTCCAACTCTGAGTGCAAAACCCCACCTCTTCATGAATATACAAATATCTATGCAGTCTGAGCCTGTGTTAGAAAAACAGTGACATCTTGTGGCTAAACCGCAGAATGTCAGTCAAAACATTAATTTACTTCCACACAAACAATGAGAGCTGTTTCCCCATCTCACATGCCACCCCACTAGAGGTTGTCGTCCTCGGCAACCCTCCCCATACAAACTCATTCTGGGCATAATGCTGTGGGGGCACACCAGCATTGGGCCTTGTTGACCGTCGTAGAGTGACAGGCTCAGAAGCACTGGGGACGTCAGGCACATTTAATGGGAGAGGAGCTTCTGACTGCTCAACACTTTCCCTTGGTGGCAAACTTGCTATGGTTGGAGCCTCTGTGGGTACCGGGGCAGGGACAACCCACCATTCCTGCCCCTCCTCTAAGGGGATTTCCTCAGTACTCTGAGCAGGAGGAGCCATCCCCTCCACGCACACTGGTTCATCAAAATTACAACACCTCAACATATTACGGTGCAAGTTTCATGAGGGCCCCCCAGTCCCTATTGGCTCTACCTCATAGACCGGGATGGCAGGGTCTACCCTCCTCTTCATCGTGTATGGGACCGCCTCCCATTGCCAATCCAACTTTCCAGACCACCGCTTGGCTTTGACTATCACTCGATCACCCGGGGCATACCTCTCCTTCTGCACTGGTCTTGGATTGGGGTATACCACTTGTCTAAGGTGCTCCCCCACAACCTTGTGGATCGCTCTCAGCCGGCGGCAGTGCTCTTGCGACCATGCGGTAGTATTTCTTGGTGGTGGCTCCATCGGATCGGGCATGTGGAGATCTTCAATCTCCCGTCCGGCTCTCCCAAACATGAGCATATGTAGGGAGTATCCGGTGGTACTGTGTACCCTGTTATTTATAGGCCCACATCAGTTCAGGTAGGTATTCGGGCCACCAAGCTTTTTGGCGGTCCTCCAGAGTCCGCAGCATCTGGAGCAAGGTGCGGTTGAACCGTTCGCACGCCCCATTTCCCTGGGGTGATACGGGGCGGTGCGGGAACGTTCGATCCCATACAGTTGGTACAACTCATTCATTAGAGTACCCTGAAAACATGCCCCCTGGTCCGAATGTATTCTCTGTGGACACCCGAACACCTGTATAAAGTGTTTGTAGACCGCTTCAGCGGCCGAATCTGCCGTCTGGTCTCTGGTGGGTACAGCCACCGCATACTTTGTGCAATGATCTGTCATGACTAGACAGTACGAGTGTCCCGAGGTAGAGTACCCAATCTGTACATAATCGATCATAAGGAGCTCTAGGGGTGCTGATGTCCGGATGGCCTGGACAAGAGCCCGCTGTTCAGTACTCTTACTCAGCCCGCAGGGCCGACACTTAAGACATGCCTCGGCCACCATGTCTGCCAAATCGGGACAGTACATGAGCCGTTGGAGCCACTTGAACGTTTTATCGCTCCCAAAATGGGCACCCCTCTCATGGGCCTGCCTGACTTGGGGATGACAATCTGTCGCCGGTACTGCAAACTCTGACTGCAAGTATATGGTCCAACACAGGAGGCCCTGGGTAACAGTTAGCTTATCCCACTGCCTCAACAACTTTTGGCCCTCGGGAGTCAGACGAGCCCGCTCTTCTGACCGAGGCCAGATCTTGGTCCGGACCCATTCTTTCACTTTCCACAGGTCTGGGCAGCTATCCTGGACCCACTCCTAATCAGCCAACGTCTTTCCCAGAACCATTGACATCCCAGACGCCACCCCACTTGAATGTGCCACGTCCTGGAACATGGGTAATTGACCAAGGTCAGGAGTTTCAGTGTCCTCTAGCTCCTCATCGGAACTTGATGCGGTATTGGTACTTAGAAAGGCGAACCAACCACCTCTGCTCAAGCGCATAGAGTTTGGCATTTTCCAGATGTGCTAACGGGTTGTTGTCCGTCATCACGGTCACCTCTGCACCGGTCAGGTACTCCGCAAACTTTTCAGTCATGGCCTACACCAGTGCCAGTAGTTCCAATTTAAAGGAGCTGTAGTTGTCAGGGTTGTTCTCTGACTCCCTCAGAGCCCAAATGCCATAGGCAATGACTCCCTCACGTCCATCCTGGACTTGGGATAACACAGCCCCCAGACCATGTAGACTTCCGTCAGTGTACAGCAGGAATGGGGTGTCGAACTGCGCATAAGCCAGAATCGGGGCACTGATCAGCGCCCCCTTCACTGCTTCAAAGGCCCCTTGTTGCCGGGGTCCCCACTTGATGGGACGATTCTTTGGGCCCCCTGCAGTGCCCCTTAAAACTCATTTAATGGGCCCACCAAATGAGCAAACTTGGGTATAAACCTCCTGTAGTAGCCGGCCAGTCCAATGAACGCCCGCACCTCTCGTAGTGTACTCGGCTGGGGCCACTTCTGGGTGGCCTCCACCTTGTCGGGGGTTGGCTTTACCACCTCCTGGGTGACCAAATGTCCCAAATACTCTATCTGTTGCCGAAACAGTTGGCACTTCTTGGGCTTGAGCCCATGGTCTCGCAGCCATCCTAAGACATGTTGCAGTTTCTGGAGGTGATCCTCAAAAGAGGCCCCAAACACTACTACGTCACCCAGGTATATCATCAATACCAACTCGAATTTGAGATCTCCCAGACAGTGCTCCATCAACCACTGGAATGTTCCCGGGCATTGGGCAGGCCGAACGGCATCTGGTTGAACTCGTAGAGATCCATAGGTAGGATGAAGGCCGTCTTTGCTTTGTCCTTCTTGGCCACGGTACTTGCCAATACCCACTGGCCAGGTCAAGAGTCGAGAAGAACTTCGCATGACTCAGGGCGGACAACGACTCCTCAATCCGCTGAAGGGGGTAGGCATCCTGGGTGGTCTGGGCATTCAGCTTCCATTAATCCACGCAGAAACGGAGACTCCCATCTTTCTTCCGCACCAAGGATACTGGAGCAGCCCAAGGACTTTGACTCTCCTGGATCACCTGGTTTTCCAACATACTGGCCACCATATCCTTCACCTCCTGGTACATTTTAGGCGGGATTTGCCGGTAACGTTCCCTGATCAT